CCAGAGCATTGCCCAGGAGGTGGGGCGCGTTGCGGCTGCGCGGGAGGGGGAACACCAGGGGAGGGGCCAGGGGCTAGCCTCCCAGGGCAGGAGCTTAGGGGCCGGACAGGAGGGTCCCGCAGGCCAGATGTGGCCCGTAGTTTGCCCACCTCTGTATTAAAATGACTAATCCCGTGAAAAGATTTTCAGAGGTGCTGAAGTCTCTTCTTGACTTGATTGTCCATTATCTAGTGGCCTAATAGACAGAGCACTTGACTGACTCAGGAGATCTGGATTCTATTCCCAGCTCTGCCACTGGCCTGCTGGGTGACCTTAATCAAGTTACTTTACTGACGCATGCCTCAGTTTCCCCATCTATAAAAGAAGGATAATGATACCCACTTCCTCTGTAAAGCGCAAGAGCTAGATACTATTAATTATTATATTAATATTAACAACAATAATAAATAATAATACAGGGCCATGTTGTGCACACCCCAATCACAGTAGTGAGATTACTATCCAAATAGACCAGTTGATTTCACTGGGTCTACCTGACTCACTAACAGGTTCACAATCTGTCCCGCAGTGTTTTCAGACATCAGTCACACCTCACTCAGTTTTAATGCTTATAATTAAAACTAAGCGTGTGGGTGGAGAGGAGAGGTGCAGAGGGATTTGAGTTTGGTTAGTGAAGCGGGAAAGGCTTGTAGAAGTCTATGATTTATGTTTATACAGAACTGCCAATAAGGTACAAGGCACGAGACCGGCTCGCGAGCAGGCAAAGGCGCCAAGACGAGGGAATACACTGTTTACCTAAGGTAACAATGCATTTTGCATTTACTGCTTTACGCAGAAAAAGGAAAACAAAAACAAACCACAACTCACGCCGTGCCACACTTTCACCTCTGGGAACGCACACAAGAGACTGTCTTATTTAGGAGAATGAACAAAGTATTGACACTTCACTTTGCACACACACAAAAATATCAAATATAAAAATATCAAGTCCATATTATTTGCAATTGCTGCATAAATTGAGTTGTTATCCCTACATTTTCATAACATCAGAGCAGGGACCACTTCAATTCCCATCTGCACAGAAATTTCTAAATTCCCTTAAGACACCAATTAAGGTTTTGAACTTGGATTCTTCAAGTAAATGGGCTCATTTCATTCATTCTTATTTTCACACACAGTCTCTCTCTCACACACACACCCTCTCCATCTTATTTTGATCTTCTACGTGTTACTTTACAAAGTGACTCTTCTTCCCAGTCTTGCAGCTATGAATCACTCACACAGCAATGTATTGACCGCAGCGTTCCCTGAAGTTTTGTTCCTCCATTTCTTAGAGCCTCCTGGATACTGCATGACCATAAGAGAACTCATCTGCTTCTTTCCTGCTATTCTAGCCAGTCATTCTCCTCGATGAATTTTATACCATCTTCGAAACTCAGCCCTTTGTTTCATGCATGCTTAGTTTTCACAAGATTATTTAGTACCGCAGAAGATACAAAACACTGGGATGTTTTCTGACAGATAAAGCAAGTGACCATTGCTTTGCAGTGGCCATAAAACCTGTTTTCACTGTATCCATTTGCCACATTCTCGTCTAGCTTTACAGTTTCAGCTACAACAGCCAGTCATATGTCAGTGTCGATCATGCCGGTCATTACCTATGAATAGTGGGACTATAAACCAAGTGATGCTGGCATAAAGTTCAAGCCAACCACCCATCTAGAAGCTGCAGGGGGAATGAGACTTGCCAAAAGCCCATGGTTCTGCATGGATTTGTAAGTAATCATATGCTTTGGATACAGATTAAAACTTTCTATCACAGTAGAGAGTGTTTATTATTATTTTGCCTGCCTTGAAATGGGAACATACAACAGTCGGCATGCCACGGAGCTGGTATCGCTGGCCTTCCAGGATTTGTACAGTATGGAAGGTCACAAGCATTTCGTTGCTGGGTCATGTCCATGGTCAGCAGTGCTCCTGACATTTTCAACGCACAGAAAGACTCATAGCTGAGCACACAGTAAATAAATCGTTGGCGCTTTCATCCAACAATCTCAAAGCGGTCTGCGAAATTAAAATGAGATTATACCCCAGAGAGTGGCTTTAAAAAAAATTAAATAAAAGACATGGGATTCTATGCTGATCAGCTGCCAGGAACTCCAGATCAAGTCGCTCAGTTTACCCATAAAGATGTTTTCTAACTGCCAATCTTGTAAACAGAGTCAAGCTGAAGTCTTTCTGGTTTATGCATCGCCACCGCCACCAAGATTCTGTGGGTTAAATTCTGCGTTGAGTTGCCCCTGGACCAGTCTTGTTTAGCTAAACTATAGAAGTCCATACTTTGGCGCTGAAGGTCCCAGGTTATAGTCCCTGTGTATAAAACCATTTCACACAGGTGTAACTGACCAAAACCTGGTAAACGATTCTGTGGGGGATGCACAGGAAGGAGTAGAA